ACCCCCTCCCTCTGAAATATTATAATTTTGAAATTAAGGGGCTCTAAGGCAAAGATATGGGAATAACAGTTCTTTACTAGGGAAACTAAAATAAAAATGCAATAATACAAAACAAAACAAAACAAAAAAAAAAAACCAAAAAATCAAAACACTGCCAGAGTCAGAACAGTCCCTGACCCCCTGTGGGTCAGGGAGGTGGCAGCAGTCCCATCCCAGGGTGGCTCAGCCCTCCTGCAGTGCCAGCTGTGCTTCTGCTGGAGCAGGATCCTGCACAAGGGGGGAGTTTTCCTCTGGAGCTCCAGGGCTGGGGGAGATGGGCCTGGGCTCCTCTGGGAATGCAGTGGGGAAGAAAGCTGCTCCTCTGGGAATGCAGTGGGAAGAAAGCTGCTCCTCTGGGAATGCAGTGGGAAGAAAGCTGCTCCTCTGGGAATGCAGGGGGCAAAGGCTGCTGTGCTGTTCCCAGGTCAGATTGTATCCAGGTAGGAATGTTTGGCTCCTCCCCTGGGCAGAGCATCTCCCCATGGAAGGATGGAATTTTCTCAGCCATGAAGGGAGACTCAGTGGCCATGAACAGAAGATAATTAATAATTAATGGCCCATGGACAGAAGAGATCTCCTGGAGGGAGGATTGGCTGTAGGAGAGATAAAGAAAAACTGCCCAGTGAACAGCAGAGAACTGCCCCACCTCTGACAGATGGTGACAGAACACACACCCAGCTAAACCTTTCAACTTGAGACAGGTTCTCATTATCTAAATGAACCTTTTGACAAAATAGATCAAAACCTCTGCAGGGATACCTCAGCAAAGGCTGCTGTGGATACAGAGAGAGTGAAAGGAATTCAACAGCAGCATCACAGGCACGCGGAAACCTCAGCTCCCAAATGGAAACCCCAGACCAAATTTTGTTCTCCTGCACATGAGCGAAACCCCACTCAACCCAAAACTGGGGACACCCCTGTGCTCCGTGCACAATTTGCTGCTGAGTCTTACTCCAGGCTAAATTGTGAAGCAGAATTCCCACGAAATTATGGAAAACAGCCACTCTTGTGGGATACCCCAGATAATTTAGTGCAGCAGAAATTCTGCCTGGTCCTGCTAAGTGCCAGCAGCAAATTGCTGAACCTCGAAATCGCTGTGCCTCTCAGAGAGGTTCAGCCAGTTGTGGGCCATAATTTTTGGCTCCTCATTTCACTGAGAGCATTTTTTTTATCCCAGAAATGGAATTTGAAAAAAGAAGTGCTGTAATGAAAAAAGCCTGTCTTGAGTAAAATAAAAGCTGAATGAGGCTGTCACTGTGTGGAAACAGCAGGGCTGGAAAATCACTGTATTTCAGCTTAAACATGGGTCTGATACCTTGGTTCTGAAGCAAGCTTTCCCTCCTGAATCTTTTAGAGCATTTTATTTTTGATGGCTCTTATCCCAAAGGAAAACACTGCATGGTACAAGTGACTGACACTGCCTTTTATTGTCTAAGCTACCATGAAATCTTCAATTTCTTGTAGAAGCAAAGACCTTTTATGGTCCAATTTAAAATCAAACCAATACATTTATTTAAAATAATAATAAATAATAATAAAACAACAAAAAGCCAAGGTAGTTTGGCTGCCTAAAATTAAAAGTCTCCTTCACCCAATCCCCATAATACAGTTTCACTGATTTGAAAAATCCAACCTTCCATTCTAGTACTGAATAGTTTTTTCCATTACAGTACTGAAAAAGTACCTTCCATTCTAGTGCTTCATCCAGCTGTGGAAAAGGAATGGGAATTAAATCGTTGTTGAATGGAAGCCTAAATTAAAAATGGAGATCAACATTTCAGAGGAGGGTTTGTTTTTAATGATCTATAACTTTCACACGGTCCAATTAATCTTCTTGATTTCTGCAGAAAATTGTCCCTCCTCTTTCCCACCAGGTGGAACAATTTTCCCTAACCAAAGCAGCAGGATCTCTGAGTACTTGTTTTCCTTGTAATGAAAATTCCAAATTTCCAACTCACTCCCAAGCTGAATTTCAGAAGTACAGGGATTAGGAACAGATGACTTTTGTGAATGTCACCTTCCTTTGAGGAAATTTATCCAGGGCTCTCCAGGTCAGGTCATTCCAGGTCAGGGGATGAGAGAAATATGAAATCATTTAGGTTGGAAAAGAACTTTCAGACCATCGAGCTCAACCATCAGCCAGCACCAGCCCAATCTTCAGCACTGAACACTGTCCTCAGGTGCCACATCCACGCAGTTTTTGGGTATTTCCAGGTGTGGTGATTCCAACCCTCCCTGGGCAGCCCCTGCCAGGGCCTGAGCTCCCTTTCCATGGGGAAATTGCTGCTGCTGTCCCAGCTGAGCCTGCCCTGGCCCAGCCTGAGGCCGTTCCCTCTCCTCCTGTCCCTGTTCCCTGGAGCAGAGCCCGACCCCCCGGCTGTCCCCTCCTGGCAGGAGCTGTGCAGAGCCACAAGGTCCCCCCTGAGCCTCCTTTTCTCCAGGCTCAGCCCCTTCACAGCTCCCTCAGGAATTCTCCAGCCCCTTCCCAGCTCCATTCCCTGCCCTGGACATGCTCCAGCCCCTCCAGGTCTCTCCTGCAGGACCAGAACTGGGCACAGCCCTGGAGGGGCCTCTCAGAGCCAGCCCAGAGGGACAATCCCTGCCCTGCTCCTGCTGGACACACAATTCCTCATCCAGCCCAGCTGCCAGCGGCCTCTTGCCCCCCTGGGCACCCCTGGGCTCATGTCCAGCCCCTGTCACAGCTCCCCCAGGGCCTTTTCCAGCTCTCCAGCCCCTCTGCCCAGCCTGGAGCTCCATGGAGTTGTTATTTACAGTCCCCTGTGAGCTGCCACACTCCTCTCCCTCTGTTATTTTGAGGGAAACAAAACATCCTTTAGAACTCAAAATCACATGGAAAATGTCACAAGAGGTGGTTTTGTCACAGGGCTCGGTTCTTCCCACCCTTCCCACCTCTGAAAGAGCAGGAAAATGAGAAGATCTTTGTACTTCCAGGTGTGCATTTGCTTGAGAATGGAAATGCAAAATTGTCCTGGAAGAACGAAGAGACAAATGAGGGCTTCAATATTTGTGTCATGCCTAAAGAAAGAGAGTTGAGGTGGTGTTCCAACCTGGCTGCAGCAGGGAGGTCCAGAGCAGCATCTTTCCCATTTTTTTCTCTGGGAATCATCACTCCACGGGGTCCAAGGTTCTGCAGGAAGGGCAGGGAAACACTGGAGTAATGTCACAGCTGATAAATGTCTTCCTAAAGGTGATACTACAAGTGAGAAGTGCAGAGAAACAGCAGTTTTCAGCCATCAGAAGGAAGAAATGAGACCTTGGGAGAGAAGGCTTTAAAGAATGAGAATTACCTGGAACAGTAATCACAGCCCTGAGAAATATTTGGGACATTAAACTCCCAATGCTGGCTCTTCACAGGACCCTCCATGTGACTTTCCCTGATGCCACCAGTGCAGAGACAAGGGGCATTTCTACAGCCTGCCATTTGTGCTCTCTAGATTTATTATTTTTAGCTGTTTATTATTGCCTTCTAAATAACTGACATGTGGCAAGCTTATCCAGGGCTTAAACAATTTTATTTACTAAATATTCCATATAGACTGTTCAGCTTGGTAATACAATGCTAATAATGTGCAGTAATCAAAGCTGACATCATTTTTGGCCTCTTAAATTCACTTCTCCTGATATTTTTGCCTGTACAGTTGGGTTTGCCATATTTCCTGGGCAGCTGGATTTTTCCTTTCCACTCCTGAGCATCCATATTTTATTGCAGTGCTTCCCTGAGCTGTGGGTCTGGGATGGAGGAGATTCCAAATCACAGGTCCCTGCCATTTCTAGGGATTTTTTCACCCAGAGGACACTCTGGGATGTGACCTGAGCTTGGATCAGCACCTCTCTTTGTGCCTCTGGACAAAGCACGGTCTTTTTTTGCCTTTTAGGGTGAGGTTCAGCAGATCTGTGAAAAGAAGGTAACAAACAAATTAACCCCAGTTATCCCAATTCCACACCAGACAATATCCCAACATCCTCCAGGAGTTTCATTGTAATTTATGCATTGCTCACCAGCCCAGCTCTCACAATCAGGGTAACTAAAAGGTGACTTTTACGGGAGTCAGGGTTGATGCCTTGAGAAGGCTGAGCTGGAGCAGAGGCTGGGCAGAGCTACAGAATAAATTCGGGATTTATTAAAGGATCTCCTCCATGGATCCACCTTGGGCAGCACCAGAGCCCAGCCAGGGCTGCACCCAAATGACCCAAAATGGCCCCAAAATGCACGAGCGCTCCCGGGGGCTCTCCCTGGGATCAGTTCTGCTCCATTGGCACCTTGGAGTTCATTGTCCCATTCCAGCTTTAGCCCAGGCAGTCCCACCCTGCTTGTTTTTCTCTCTCCAGCCCACGCTGTTTGTGCTCCTGGGCTGAGATTTGGATCATTTGTCCTTGGTGCCCAGCTGGAGCAGGAATTGTTTTGTCTCCCTGCTCTGTGCAGAGCTCACGATCCCCTAATATGAGGCCCAGACCCACACATTAAAGCAGCACAGAATCTGAAAAATAGAAAAACTCAAACCTGAGGCATCAAGGGAACCTTTGGATCATGGGATCAGGGTGGGCTCCAGCAGGGGGAAGCTTTGGTGACAATTCCTGTTCCCCTGGGCGTGTGCTGAGCGTGGCAATGGGTTTGTGGCAGCCAGGGGACAGAGGATGACACAGTGCCCCACACCACCTGAGACCCACAGCAGGTGAGTTGGTGAAACACTGGCAAAAGATCAGTGTTTAATAAAGAAATTATTATTAAAATGTTCGCTGTCAGACTGAGCCCTTCTTATTCAGCACATGCACAGGAGGAAAGGGCGTAGTTTGTGGTCCCGAAAAGTGCTTTGTGAGCTCCACTTTGTGTGATATCCAACCTCACTCTGTCCTTCTTACAGACAGAAAAAAAATAAATTAAAGACTTGGGGGTGCCGTGGGTCCTGATTACAGCACTTATTCCTTCTCTGTTGTTGCAGGGATGACCTGCCAGGCTCGCAGCTCCTACATCACCAGTGAGATCCTCTGGGGCTATCGCTTCACCCCCGTCCTCACGCTGGAGGATGGCTTTTATGAGGTTGACTACAACAGTTTTCACGAAACCTACGAGACCAACACCCCCGTTTACAGTGCCAAAGAGCTGGCAGAGATGGCCAGCCGAGCAGAACTGCCCCTGACCTGGTCTGTTTCCAGCAAGCTGGACCAACACGCCGAGCTGGAAACGGAGGAGGAGGAAAAGAACCAAGAAGACCAAAACGAAAGAAACGGAGATGTGGCCAACTTGGAGAATGAGTCCAAAGTGTAGAACCAGAGGAGAAATAAAGGCCACACCACCTCCTTTATCTCCTCTCTCTCTGCTCCCTGTTTCTTTCTGCGACACGCCTTTAATTTTTTTCTCTTCCTGTTATTGGTAACTCACGGAAAATAAACATTTTAGATGAGAATTCCCAACTTCAACCCAAGAGATTCCCAGACTAAGCCAAGGCGTGGGTTCAAGCTGCAACACTCATCAAGGATGGTGGAATCTCCCCCTGGCAGTGACTGATGGCCCCTCTCCAGTGCAGACCTCCAGGTTTATCCACATTAACAACACAAAAACCAATCCCTGAATGAAAAGGAAATGTATGCAAGGGATTTTAAAGGAAAAACTAATTAATGCCCATCGATGGGCCTTGACTGAGTGTTTATATATTTCAGGACAGTTTCACAGACTGGGTGACAGTGGAATGGGCCTTGCAGCTTTAAAAGGAAGGTGAGCAGAGGGATCTGCAATCCCACACGACCCTGTACATATGCCTTATGTAACTATTTCTCTCTACATTTAGTAATAAACGCCGCATGTACAAAAGTACTGTAGTAAAGAACTTCTAAATAATGTACACAGCTGTGTAATTAATGTAGGTTTAGAAACAGAGCTCTAGAAATATTGGGATGCAAAAACTAACTACCCGTCGAGTAGGCATTTCTCTTCAAATATTTGCAGTGTAAAATTGATTTTAATTTTTTTTTTTCCCCCCTCCCCTTTATGACTCTTCTAGTGCATAACATTTTCTTCAGTGTACCAGACTGGCAGCTATTTAGAGTACCTCAACTGTTGGTCAAACAGATTGTTTCATTCACTCTAAAAAGCCATAAGTCTGGGAGAGGGCAGGGTAGAGAATTGTACTCTTGACATACTGTGAAAATGTTTACAAATAAGGCAAAACCCTTCCTGGTTACTCTTTTTTGGGGACAGTTCAACTGAAAAAAAAAAAAATTGAGGCTGTGGCAAACTCATGGCTAACCAGAATTCCCTGTATACTCTTCATATAACGAGCACGTGTCACGTGGAGGGGTTATCCTTAATGTGCAATATCCAGGGAATCTGCTCCCACGGGATTTCAGTGGAGTAGTTTGCTACACACAAAAGAAACCCCACACACCAAGCCATTGAAAAATGAATGTTGCACCTCAGCTAGTAGATTTTAGCTACTTTAGCTGGGAAAGAAACAGCTGGATTTCATGTGGGGATGGAATCCATGAAATTTGCAATTTGCTGGTGCTGAGGCGCGGTGGGCACAACATCCCTGGGGGTGTCCTTCCACCAGGATTCCCAGGAGAACACAGGGATCCTGCCACCACGCTCAGGGGAGCCATTCCTCAGTGAGTTTCTCCACCTTAGGGAGCTCCCTGGTTGTTGTAAATCCCTGGAAAACCCTGGACATTCCATCCACGGGGCAGAGAGAACTCGCATCATGTCCACGGCAGTGGGGGAGCTCGGCCCCACCAAGAACAGCAAAGGAGGAGAAGCTGCAGCCTTAATTTTGGGGGTTTTTTTCATGCCTGCCTACTCCAGGAAGAAAGACAACACTGAAGAGAACCTGAAGTTTTTTGGGTTTTTTGTTTGTTTGGTTTTGGGTTTTTTTGTACAGAAAAATTTACGTTTAAATAAAAGAGAAAAAAAAATAAACCTCAGGAGAAACTTGGTGGGCAGGTGGAAAATTTGCACTGTGATATAGCTTTGGCATTAAATTCACACCTCTTTTCCTTTTTTTTTTTTTTTTTTATTTTATTTTTTTTTTTGCTGGTACAATTGCCCCTTGCTAATTTTCAGAGAAGGTGGATGATTTTGGGGGGAGGTCCTCCAGGTGAGGAGGTCACAACAGGGCCTGGGGAAGGGAAGAGAAGGGAAGGGAAGGGAAAGGTCACACACCAGGGCAGATCAGGCTGGATGGGAAGAGGGTTTTTTGTTTCAGCACTGACCATTCTCCCCTAAAAGGAGAGATGCAGGATGCAAGGATGCAAGGAATGGTGCAGGATGAGGATTTGGGGTGGGTGATTCTGGCAGCTCAGTGAAGGTTGGGACACTTCTGGGAGACAGCACTTGGCCACAAGCTCATCCTCCTGCCCCAGCAGCAACCCCGTGCTCCAGCCCATCCATCACCACCCCCAGGGTTCCCTAAAAATCAGGGTTTTTAGGGAAAAGTGGCTCCACAGCCCCTCTGGAAGCGTTGGGGCCGCGGAGCCGCCCGCGCGCGTCCGTCCCACCAAAGGTGCGCGAGCTGAAAGCAAAGATTTCCCTCCGAGGATAAAATGCTTTTGGCTCTCAGAATTCACTGGACCACTCTGCAAGTCGTTGCTGCAGGTTGATAAAATTTGTGTTGCAGCTCAGGGCCCTGATGAAAGCTTTTTTTTGTGTCCTTCAGCACGGAAAAAGAGAGACTTTCCGCCACTGGGGCATGCGCATGTGTAAGCTTTATTTTTGTGAATAGGGCACTTACAGCTTAAGGTGTGTGTGTTTTGTCTCTTTCTCTCTCTTCCCCCTCCTGTATTTTCTTGTCTTTGGTATCCATGTAGTACGGACTGTAAAGTTTATGAAATCTCATTTTTGTAACATAAGCTTTAAAAAAAAAAAATATAGAAGCCTCCAAAGCTTTCAACGGGGAAGCTTCACGTAAACTTTGTACTAGAATGTCCCTATCAAACACCTCTATTTTTCTACAATGATTGATTAAGCAGTTTAACAATGTATTTTGTGTCAATGATTTCAATTGAATTGGTACGAAGACAATTAAGAATTGAATGCTGTTAATTAACAATGGATTTTCAAGCCGTATATCCTGAGTGGTGTTTTCATTGACAGTAAATCATTTAACCCAGGAATTTCAGCTCCTAATCCTGAACAATATTCGAGGAAAGCTCAATTCCCTATGGGAATATTTGTGGCAAATGACATTTAAGGGGTGTGAATAAACTAATGTAATTGGCTACAGAATTAATCCAGACCCATTACACTTCTATTTCATTCACTTATATATTTTGATGGCTTTTTCTTGGAATATCCTGTGATTTCTGGGAGGAAAAGGATTTCCAGAGGTAAATGTGAGCTCTTGGGAATCTCCTGGGGCTCTCAGTTCCTTCTTCACTGACCAGAAACATTGCTGAGTGGGAATGTGACCTTCAGCAAATTCTCCAAGTTTAGCTTTATCATTTTCCAACAAATACCACCTTATCGGAATTAAAATAAATTACCAAAAGGATTTTGAAGTATCACCCAAGAATGCAGATGTCCTGGTAGGAGTCTATAGCTGTTCTGATCTGCATCTTTGCCCTACAACACCAAAGCCATGGGAGCCATCCCAACAAATTCAGCAGCTGCCAAGCCCAGGAGGGACAAAAAATGTGCTGGAAAATCCAAGAGCATCAACAGATGGTTTGAAGTTCACTTCAAGTTTTTGGTTTCAAGACCGGGTTGCTCGTGTTCCCCTGTTGGAGTTACAGAGGTCACTCAGGCCTCGCAAAACCAGGGAAGGATGAAATTCCTGGAATCCCTGTTCTGTTTCCAGCCACAGGGCACCACTCTGGGCTATTTAGGAAGGGGAAGGCCTGGAATCAGAGCTCTCTTCAGCTCAAGGATGTCCAAAGCCACATCCCACTCTCCCAAAAAACAAACCCTTCCACAAGAGCACCGACAGCTCCAGCCCCTCTGCCAAGGGCTGACGTGCTCTGGAATTCTCCCAGCAGCCCAACTTTTCATCTTTGAGTGTGGCAGAGGGGGTGGAACTGGATGATCTTTAAGGAGCCTTCAAACCTAAACCATTCTAGGCTGCTAGGATTTTATAATTCCAGGATTCTATGAAATCTTTGGGGTTTTTAATGGAAGAATGGCAAATCCCCCATTCCCTGGGCCCAAGATATTTCCTAGCTAAATTTCAGCCCTCAGGCTGAGGCAGAAATAATGCCCAGGTTTTCCATCTCCTCAGCTGGAGTTGTTTGATTTTTGCTGTCCAGCAGAGCACAACCCTGGGAGGATGCACTGTGTCATTCCCAGAAAACCTGGGATATCTGTCCCTCCTGCTTTTTGGAGATTTGAACTTGACGTGGTGAATTTATACCATTTCCTGCATTTTTTTTTTATGTGGGTGTGAATGAAAGGCTCAATATAATTTGTCTCCTGGGCACCTCGGACATTCCTTAGCAGACATCACCAGAGCTTCTGGCTGTCAAACATTAAATTTTTACTGTTGTGCTACTCCCTGCCCATCAAAATACCTTTCTTTTCAGAATAACAACCTCCTTAATGCCAGGTTACCTCACTCAGGCACTTTTTTAGGCCATAAATCAAACCTAAAACATGAGGAGTTGGCTTCTCTTCCACTCTTGTTCCCTCAGCTCCCAAACACCTCTTTGGAAACAAGCATGTGGAGAGCGGGAATAAATCTGGGCTTTGAGCTGTAAATTATTCTTAAAGACAAGACCTGAAAGCTGTTATTTGTTAATAATTTCCTGAGTGGATTTTAAACTTCTAGGGTTTGGTATTTTGGAGGGGAGAGGTGGTGTCAGACATTCACAAGTAATTTTGTGGGTTTAGCTCAAGTTTCTTTCTCCTGATTTATTCTCACAGTTTTATCAGATCCTCTGGATTTCCAGAAATTATAATCCAGCGGCAACTCCAGTGTAAAAGTGCAGTTATTTTACCATTTCCACTGCCTTTTTGTTGTCTGTTGATGCTCCAAGAATTTCCCATGGAGAGCCCAGAGACACATCCAAAAATAGAGTTCCAGAGGGACTCGGATCTTCCTGTTTCACCACAAGTGTGAAATCTGGTTTCTATTCTGAGCAAATTCACAACTACAAACCACAGCTCATCCCTCCTTCTCCCCAGCTCACGTGTCATCCACACAGAGTAAAAACTTCAGAGTTTCTGGTAACATCAGCTGCTTTTAGATTTATTTTTTTTCAGAGGGCAGGAATAGGGAGAATTCTCCCTTCTGTTTTTCTTTTTTTCTTTTCTAAAATCAAAGGCAGCAGCTCCAATCTCAAAGCTGAAGCTGTTTTCCCTCAAATCATTACAGGCAATCATTTGCACTGACTTTTCTGGAGAATTTAAACTGGTGAGAACTGCTGGAGAACTGTTATCCCACCAAATTTTCCATGTGTTTGATTGGAATCCTCTGGAATCCTTCCAGCACAGGGAAGGATTTGTGCTCCTGGCTCACCAGGATGGATCCTCACAGTCACCTTCCCTGGCCACTTCCCCATCATCATGTCCCAAATCCCTCACTGGAGCATCACATCCCTACAACAGCTCTTTAATCTTCCCAAAATCTAACTCCGATCGAATCAAAAATAGCATTTTTTAAAAAGAAGGTTATGATATCACAATGAGAAGTCTCTAATCTGAGAAGATCAGTGAGATTTGGGCTGGGGAAGCCAAACCATCACAGTTTGGATCATTCCAAGGAATCTGGCTCAGATGCTGGTGGAAGTCATTTCCTTTCCACAGCAACATTCTTGGTGGTGCTGGATGGGATCATGGTGCTGCCTCCTGAATCTCTGCTCGTGCTCCTCAGGAATGCTGAACGTGGACCAGCACTTCCCAAAATCACTTGGAATTGGCTAGAAGGGACCCCAAAGCCCATCCAGTGCCACCCCTGCCATGGCAGGGACACCTCCCACTGTGCCAGGCTGCTCCAGCCCCAGTGTCCAACCTGGCCTTGGGCACTGCCAGGGATGGAAATCCAAAAAAATCCTGGAAAAGAGGAATAAAAACGAGTGCAAAGTGCACAGATGAAGCCAACAGAATTCCTGGACACAGGGCAGGGCCAGTGGAATCAGGAGTTCAGAGCTCAGCCATGCTGAGACATTTTTTACAGCTTCATGTGTCATTTCTCTGATATGTACAAAATTCCTATTAATCAATATACTAAATAAAGCATGACCAAAATTATGGCTTAAAAATGTTGGCCAGACAAATCATCACCACAGAATTCCTATTAATAAATATATTAAATAAAGCACGACCAAATTTATTGCTTTAAATTTTTGGCTGGACAAGTCATCACCACAGAAATCCTAATAATAAATATATTAAATAAAGCACGACCAATTTTATTGTTTAAAATTCTTGGCTGGACAAATCACCACCATGAAATCTCCATGATGAGAATAGACAAAGGAGAAAATTCATAATTTCAACCCCACACAGAATTTTTTTCCACTTGTGAAATACAGGAAAGTAAGTCCAAGAGAGATGCCATCGTTTCCAAACTCCCTGGATTCAAAAGAAAGAGGGATCTGTTCAATGCACACAAAATCATTTGTCCTCTTCAAGACTCTAACTTCCTTTGGTCACCAAAAATGACACTGAAATTCCCCAGGAAACTGGCAGAGAAAAGTGTGGGTGTGGCTTTATTTCATAAAATTTAAATTAAAAACTCCATTTTCTTTTTTAGGGAGTGTTTGTTCTCTCTTTGTGTCAGTTCTCAATGGTTTGCCAAAAATCTGCATGGCCATATGACCTCCCAAGAGTATTTCTAGTTTTGTAAAAAAGTAATTTATTTTAGGTCTTTAATTATTAATTACTGAGGAATCTGTGGATTAGAACTGATAATTAAAACAAGATTAATCCAGAGAAAAAATTCCCAAAAATTAAATCCCAGCACTTCACAGATCAGAACAGAATCTTCCATTCGCAGGTTTTTTTTTCCCCCCTCACATTTCCAAAATAAATTAATGAAGCACTTTGCTATGAGAACAAATGTTTTGTTCATCTGGAGACTTGCTTGAAAATAAGTTTAAAAAAAACCATTTTTGCTCAGCTTTGCAGATAATGAACAAATTCAGGCATCAAATTAAATCAGATCTCCTACTGAAAAATGCAATAGGCATTAATTTTTGTTATTTTAATAAAATACACTGCTGGAGATATCTGGAAATTAAGAAATCTGCCCTTACAGTGAGTCAGTCACTGATAAAATTAAACTATTCCCAATCTGACATTCTGTACATTTTCATCCCAAAAAAATGGATTTTGGGTAGGGTTTGGACCAAAACATCAAGGAGTCACTTGGATTTAGGAAGTGGAGGCTCAGCTTCCTGCTGGAATTGACTCAGAGAGAGATTTTAAATCTTGGATTATTTTAAATATGGAATTGCAGATGTTCAAACCACGTCTCCTTCCTCGCTGGCAGGTTCCACCCAGCAGGGTACAAATTATCAAAGCGAGGATGAAAAAGGAGAAAAGGAGGAAAAAGGAGAAAAGGAGGAAAAATAAGGGTAAGGAGAAAGAGAAAAAAAGAAAGAGAAAAGGTAAATAAGGAGGGGGTAGAGGAGGAAAATTTTTAAAGGGAGAAAATTAAAAAGGGGAAAAAAAGGAGACTGTGGAAAAGGGGGAAAAGGAGGAAATGAAAAAAAAAAAAAAAGAAAAATTTAAAAAAAGAGAAATTTTCAAAAAAAATGAAGGGGAAAACAGGAAAAGAGGAAAAGTAGAAAGGAGGGTAAAGGAAAATGGAAAGATGGAGGAGGGGAAAAGTGGGAAAAAAGGAAAAAATAAGAGGGAATAAAGGCTAAAAGGGATGAAGGGAGAGAGAAAAGGGAAAATATGAAAAAAAAGAGAAAGGAAAGAGGGGAAGAAAGCAGAAAAGAAAAACTCATTCCCAGAAGAGTAAGAAATACTAATGTATAACCAAATATCAAACTCCTTTTTTCTGCATTTCTGCCTGAATCCCAGAAGTTGAATATTAAGAGGACTAGATTAGACAGTTAGGAAATTGTATCTGCCTTAAAATACTCACAGAGAAATTTAGGAATAAAGTGATAAAACGATATTTGCTG